CAGATGAATCGAGTTTTGACTCCATGACTAGTTCCTGTTGCTGCCCAAGCGAAGACATTTTGAGCTGAAAAGCTCAAGATCTAAGAACATTCTATTGGTGTTGGACAAAACAGAAGCTGGCTGAATCAACCATTAGAGTTGAGATGTAGGTGGTAGTAAAAGTCTTCCAAGAGGCCGTGATGTGGTAGCTGTGAGAGGGCTTGAGATCTGTTATAAAATAGGAAATGCAGCATGGGACAACTTGAGCAGCAGCATAAGATTTCACACATGGCTTTAGGAGCAGCTGAAGGGACAACCTAATACCAACGTCCCGCTTCTAGCTCAATCATGGAACTGCTTCCAATCTCCAATAAAATGTTAGCTGTCCACTGGCTCATCCCAGTGAAGTAAATCTATTCTACCTACCTAGGTATTTAGCATTGCTTTTGAGTTTAGCTTTGATGGAGTGCTTTATCATGAATTTTTTTTAGAAGACAACCATTGCTTTCAGTAAAAGTTGCACCATTCCCCCCTTCCTCATCCTTTTACTGACAGAGTAACTTGAGAATTTTTTTAATAAGAATTTGGAATAATAGCTACTCTCCCAAAAGCTGTTGTCCATCTTTTGTGATATAATGGCAAACAAGATCATGGTGCTTCTACCAATCAGAGGTTTCCGTCTGGTGGAACGGTAGTTACTGGGAGACAAATTTTGCTGCAGGGTAAAGCAAAACCTTCAGGGATCCAGAATTTTTCAGAAGTTTTAATGAGTCATCTGGAAAGAGAGAAGCTGATAGGCACTGCGTACATTCTAGACAAGTAATGTGGTACAAAAAACTTTTCATCAAGCCATGGCACAGTCAGTGGTGGCCCCATCTTCTTGAGTTTACCTAACTAAAGTTACAGTTAGTTAGAGAAACACATGTGCTTCACGTTCCATCTAGAGGGAAATGATCTGAGCCCAAGTTTAAGAGTCATTTTGAATAGGCTTAGGGAGATGAAGCATTTGCCTATGACTCTCCAGCTAGTACGTGATGAAGCCAGGACAAAGACAGAGACTTGTTAGTATTCACTGAGATGGAGCAGGAGTTGCAAGAAGAGGGGAGGAAAAGGGCACAGATAGAGGGAGGAAGAGAACATTTACAAATATTGGTCAACCACCTCAAGTGTTATTGGCCACAAACCATAGGTGACACACACTAAAAATGAAAAACTCATGGAGAAGTACTTTTTCCCCACGTATGCTCTTCCATTAGAAGTGATCCAACTCTTCAGAAAGTGACCCAAGGTACCCAAATACCTGGAATGTGAGAGCATCTTTGCCTGCTGATCCACTCATTAAATGGCTGCCACAGAGAGGTCTGGGCCAGCCGAATGCCAGGACGTAGGAACTCCACCCAGGTTGTTCACATAGATTGCAAAAACCCAAGCAACTGCGCTATTTCAGTTTTCCCAGGAGCTGTAGCACTCTTTTCTTTCTTTTCTTTTCTTGCTTTCTTGCTTTCTTTTTCTTTAAATCCAAGTCTCCACAAGGAAAGCTCTTTCTTAAGATTCTGAAGAAGCCCTTCTTTGCTTTTTTTTTTTTTTAAGACTTACATATTTTTATTGGAAAGACAGATATACAGAAAGCAGAAATAGAGAGAAAGATCTTCAATCCACTGGTTCACTCCCCAAGTGGCCACAACGGCTGGAGCTGAGCCAATCTGAAGCCAGGAGCCTTTTCTGGATTTCCCTGCACACGAGTGCAGGGTCCCAAGGTTTGAGCCATTCTCTACTGCTTTCCCAAGGCACATGCAGGTAGCTAGAAGGAAAGTGGGGTATCCAGCATAGGAACCAGCACCCGTATGGATCCTGGCACATGCAAGGCAAGGTGCCACCAGGTTACTGTGCTGTGCCAGAGCATTAGCATTCATCCCAGGTCAGAAGGAGCCAGACAAGACTCAAACTGGCACTCTGATATGAAATGCCAGCATCAAGAGAGGTAGTTTAATCTGCCGCAACACAATTCCAGACCAAGTGTTATTTTCACTATAAAGCATGACTCCATATTTTAGAGTAAAGTGAATATGTAATGGAACGCATATAATATTTATCTTGTGCCTTCCTGGGTCCCTTGGGAATACTACTATCTCCTCCATTCTTGTTTTTTTAAGATTTATTTATTTTTATTGCAAAGTCAGATATATAGAGAGGAGGAAAGACATTGAGGAAGATCTTCCATCTGATGATTCACTCCCCAAGTGACCACAACATCTGGAGCAGAGCTAATCCAAAGCCAGGATCCAGGAGCTTTTTCTGATTCTCCCACATGGGTGCAGGGTCCCTGGCTTTGGGCCAGCCTCAACTGCTTTCTCAGGACACAAGCAGGGAGCTGGATGAGAAGCAGGACAGCCGGGATTAGAACTGGCACTCTTACGGGATCTTGGCGTGTGCCAGCCAAGGACCTTAGCCACTAGGCCACCCCGCCAGACCCCCATCCTGTTTTGGTTTTAGAAACCCCGTCAAACAAGTCTACAGTGATTATTCTAGAAGCAAATAAAATAACCAATAAGCCTTAACAATTTTTTGAAGCCTGCAATTTTGAAAACACATTAACATTCTGGGAGTTAACAAGGCAGCTATCTTGCATATGAATCATATCTCAAGGTCATTACACATTCACCTTCTCACACTCCATTGAAAGAGCACTATAAGAATCTCTAGGGACTTCTGGTCTACTTTCAATAGTCATAGTTGGCCCAGTCTCCTGAAGCAAATCCCCTTTGGGGAAATGTGTCCAACATTCTCAACAGTTTTTGAGCAGGCATAAGCCCCAGCTCATTGTTACATTGAGAATTCACGGACATTCTCTATCCACTGCCTTTGCACCTGCTTTCTTGTTGACCCTATCCAAATATCCCAGCCCTAAGAGTGGCTGAGAGAGCAGATGGGCAGCAAATCGTGAGATTTTATTGTACATTATCTTTTTGCTTATGAAATTCACCCCCCCACACACACACATACACACACCTCAACTCTGGGATCTGATAGAATTTTCTTCATTATCATTGCATGACTTTCCCATAATGCTTTTTTATTATTTAAAAAAAATAAGCAATTAATTCAGAGGGATATAAAATAGAGTAATAGCATCTTCCTTTTAAAATAGTCTAAAAGAAGTCAAGGTAGAGATTTGTTCATGTAGAATTAACGACATATATTTTCCTCGAAGGACAACTGACAGTAGCCATTATTTGTTTGGTGGTTTCTTTGTGTAGATGTCAGTATGGACACCAGAAATTCTTCAGGATGGAAAACAGATGCAATCTAGGAAAGTTCAAATCCTGGCAGGAGCAAGCCCCTGTGTTGCAATTCTAGGACCTAGCCTCTCAACAGAATAGAAACAGTATTTGGCCCATAAATTGAGCTCCACGTTTCCATCTCTGCCTGGACCTACTGCAACCACAGGTTATCCTACTCAACTCCCATCCAGTCAGTAACAAGAAACTTTAAACTCTAAGCCCAAAAGTCTGTTAAAGACTTTCTCAAACCAAATGCATTTTCAGAATAATCCAGTGTGACAAATCTATAACCTTCTTGGGGAGACACCAGTAAACATACTGCCATGTTGAGCATGCCATGGGCAGAAGGAACAATATTACCTGTGCAGAACATGAGTTGAGTGTAAACTGAAGTGCCATGTGTCAAGGTGGCTGAGTCAGAACACACCGACACCTCCCCAGTCCAATAAATATCCCTGTGCAGATTCCTTTGAAGAGCCAGCCAATGAAACCTCTCTTTACTATTCTGTCTTTCTTTGCTGGAGTATTCAGTCCTTAGAAAACACTGTCTGGGACAACTTGTTAATTTCTGCCACTAATGTATCAGAGACCTTTAAAGTAGTAGCAAACCCATGTTGCAAGGGAAGTAAATACTATGACAGGAGTAAAGCAGGGATAAGATACACAAAGATATTAATAGCATATGACTGTACGCAAGCTCTTTAAACCCTCCCTGATTTAAGCCCAACATAGATAAAAAATCAACATGAAAATACTAGTTCCTGCCTAGAATTGTTTTGATTCTCAAATGACAAAATTCACACAAAATATATATCACGTGGCCAATGTTCAATGAAGAGACACTGCTGTTAATATTCCAGGCACAAGTGAGAATCAGGGAGAACCAGTTTATGAGAAGGCAGAAATCACTGTGTATGCAGCGTAAGAGTTTGCTCATTCATAACAGGATTTCCGCTCAGGATGCTTCAACAAGGGGACTCAATCCAATACCTCCCAGAGGATTTGAAGTGATGTTTTCCCACCTTTGAGCTTTTGCTTCTTCTGTTTATGTTACTTGTGTGGCTTCTAACAGACTCCTTCATTGTGGATCACATGATAGCTAATACTTTTCCACTTAGAAGATTTTGCTTAACAGTTGTAGGTTGGGTCTGACACCATACCTCAATTACTAAACCATTGCCTTTGGAACCTCATATGGATACCAGTTCGCGTCCCAGCTGCTCCACTGCTGACCCAAGTCCCCGTGTTTGGCCGGAGAAAGCAGTGGAGGATGGCCCACAGTTTTGGGACCCTGCACCCATTTGGGAGAATCAGAAAAAGCTCCTGGTTTCAGATCAGCTCCACTCCAAACATTGCAACCACTTCGGGAGTGAACCATCAGATGAAAGATGTTTCTCTCCATATCTCCTTCTCTCTGTAAAACTACCTTTCCAATAAAAATATATAAGCTATAAAAATTAAGTTGTAGTTTAAAAGCAATTATACATGGCTATCCATTAACGAGTGTTACTTTTTGTTACAATTCATTCTTGTGCAGGCCATCGTATTTAGCAAACTGCTTTCACTGCAACACATAGTAAAAATTGTTAATTAACAATTTCATTTAAAATGTAAATTTTATTTTTAAAAAAATGAGCAAGATTTGGAGAACATAACCAAAGGAATCCGTTCCTTCATGTTCTTGTTGTCTGTCCCAAGCACTGTGCCTGTGGAGCTAACTGTCTTCCTTATGCTTTGCAGGGATCTGAAACATAGCAGTGTGTACCAGTACCGCATCATTGCCATTTCAGGAACTGAAGAAAGTGAGCCATCACCAGCTGCCATGTATATCCATGGAAGTGGGTATTGTGGTGATGGAATCATTCAAATGTAAGTAGATGTAGCTCAAGAAAAAGGAGGAGGAGGATAACTCCAGTGGGGGATGCTTATGGTGTTTGCTAGAGAGCTTATGATGTACTCTTTAATGTAAGGTTATGAGTTGCCAGTGAACACAAGCAGTTTCTTCCAGCAATTTCCTGGCTTTGAAGGAAAAGCAGTAACTCTCTTTTGAACACATACATTTCCCAAGTATACAATATAATACTACTATGTGACCTAAGTAAATACACTGCTGTGTGTCACATAATGTCTGTAGTGTATGGAATCGCAATTAGCATTTCTGTGTGGGGAAGAGTTTCAAAGTTGGATGAATCCACTGAGATGCAGAATGTGAATCAACTCACTGTTGTAGACATAGCAGAGCGATAAATGATTGGATTGTCTTTATATTCATCACTTACGCTGTAGTGTTCAAATTATAAGTAGTTTTAAGAAAAAGAGGAATTTAATTTGCTACTGATGATTTTGTGTGTATAATATAAACTGGAAACCTCTGTGTTGAGATGCAGGGCTACCTACAACTACAGCAAGGGTGTGGGGAAGAGTATCCTGCATGAATAACTGCCCACCTAGACACTGGGTATTGATGCTTCCAAGTCATTACTTAGCATTGAACAAAATTTTGTAAATTTTGAAAGTATGATTGAATGAGGCCCAATGAGTTATAACTTTTGACTTAGTCTACAAAAAAGATAGTAGTCTGTATAAGATTTCCTTCCTCCTCTCCACTGAAATATTCCAGGTATTTGTGAAATGATACCAAGGCACCTTTTAAAAGAAGAAATGACATTAAAATAATTGACACTGGTAAGGTCACTAATAATTATCTGTAGCATTTCAAGTGACTTGCTGAAGCAATGCATCTCAGGGATATATATTTGTGTCTAAATGCTCTGTATCTATAATTTCACATGTGAACTATCAAGATTTTAACATTAAAGTGAGCATGCAAAAAAGCTTGTGTTCAATTAAGGTGCGAATCAGCTAACTACCACGAGGAATACTTCTCAAAAATTGACTAGGGAACTCCTCATTTGTGTGCCTAAGATCCATACTAAAATATCACAACAGAACATAGAAATGCAGTTTTCAGTGCAACAGAGCTGTGGAATGGAAAGCCATTCATTCTTCTAGGTTGAACTTGATAATTTAATGTAATGCAAGAGAGAGAGAAATTCACCAGATTTGAAGCCTAATGGAGCAATCAGTGTTCATCTTGGAGGCAGATAAATGGATGTGTTGATAAAACCCTGAGCATAACATCATCCTTCTCTTTGATCTAAAAGGACTGGTACAGTTACCATCATCACTAATTTTAAATAAAAGTATTAATTTAATAACTTTCTAAATTATCTTCACCTAGAATTAGTATTTGAAATAGCTGTTAGTTCACATGGAGATACTAAGTGCTCATTGACAAACCTTAGAGAAAATTGACTGTAACTTTTGAATGTTTCCCTTGGTGGAGGGTGGTAAGAGAGATAACTATAGCAACCTTTGTGGTGTGATACCTGCTCATTTGGCATCGATGCAAAGAGGAACGAACAGTGAGGCCCCCAGTGCATGAGCCGTCTTCTCTCAATGAGTCCCTTCCAGAGATTTTCCAATTTTATATATAGTGTAAATGTGAAAGCATTGGAGGAATATTATCGTACTGTTACTTTACCTGTGTGTTCTTACTAAGCCTCTGCTATGCACAAAACACTGTCCTGTTACCTCCTTGAGTCCTAACAACCTTATGAAGTAGGTTGTCAGACTTTGTTTGCAGAAAAGACAACTTAAGCTGGAGTTTGAAAACGTTACACACTCCCCTGAGGTTAGAAACAACATACGAGCTGAGGCCATAATCCTCATCTGTACCGCTGCAGTGTAATGCTGCAACATGATAATGTGCAAAATTGACCCCAAAGGAATGGCTGCAGGCTGTCTACCAAATCCCAAGCCTGTGCCAGTCACAGGATGGCTGGGATGATGACTACTCTGTCATGGCATTGGCATCTTACAGCATGGTATGACAGATTTTAAGGAACAGGCAAAAGAGTTAGTTTGACAAGTGTTGTGGTAAATAGAACAAGTTATCTCTGAGCACAAAGAAGGATCCACACCCACCCTCGGCCTGAGAGGTCAGTAAAGGTTTCTCAGAACCTCACTATCTAATGATGGATCGATCATGCCTAGAAGATATTTGTGGTGACTCTAATGTTTTGGTAAAACCAATGGAACTTACTGTTTGGGTGGCGATGGAAGGCAGGTTGGAAATATTCTTTGTGACTTAGGCAATCAGCCCAGATTCAAGAAAATGAAAGTCCCCAGATAACCCAAGAAAAAGCTACGACGCAGAAGGTCACCAGGAATGTGCAGTCTACAAGGTCCAGGGGCAGAGATTTCTAGGCCAAACTAAAAATATGGACTTCTTTGCCATGGATTTACAGACAGGGCAAGAACTTCGGAGGCTCTTTGGAGATCAGTGAAATGTCCTAGCCAGCATAAGGATTGATTGAGAGGCACCTTGGTGCAACTCTGACACCTCCTAAAAGCAACAAACATTGTCAAGTGTTAATTGCCGGGGGTGAAAGGTAAATTCTGAGATCGCTTCCATAATGTGATGGGTCCCAGCTGGTCTCTACAAAGAGAGGACTGCCACACACCCTGGGGAGACCTCCCAAGGCTAATTAGAAACGGGAAATGGGATTAGCTGACTTGAGCATCTACGGTGGGATACGCACTGTGCAGGTTACACTCACCACATCTTTTAAAGATATTTATTTTATTGGAAAAGCAGATTTACAGAAAGAACAAAGACAAAGATCTCCTGTCTGCTGGTTCACTCCCCAAGTGACCACAACAGCTGAAGCTGAGCCAATCCGAGACCAGAAACTTGGAGCTCCTTGTAGGTCTCCCACATGGGTGCAGGATCCGCCTAGGACTTGAACCATTCTCACCTGCTTTGCCAGGCTACAAATAGAGAGCTAGCTTGGCAGTGGAGCAGCCAAGACATGAATCAGCACCAATTCGGGATCCCAGCAGTTGCAAAGTGAGGACTTTAGCCACTAGGCTATCGTACCAGGACCACATTAATTACATTCTTCTACCAAACTTAATTGAGGGGAAATCAGTGGGGGTAGGGAGGAGGGAACTTGGTGAGGAGTAAGGGAAATCTCAGAACCTATGAAATTGTTTCATAAGATAAAAAGTTTTTTTTTTTTAATTAAAAAACATTTGGGCCCTGCCCAGTAGCCTAGCAGCTAAAGTCCTCACCTTGCATGCGCCAAGATCCCATATGAGCACTGGTTCTAATCCCATCTAATCCTTGCTTTCCATCCAGCTCCCTGCTTGTGTCTTGCAAAAGCACTGGAGTACAGCCCAAAGCCTTGGGACTCTGTACCCAGGTGGGTGACCCGGAAGAGGCTCTGGGCTCCTGGCTTCAGATTGGCTTAGCTCTGGCCATTGGCGGCGGCTTAGGGAGTGAATCAACAGATGGAAGATCTTCCTCTCTATCTCTCCTCTCTGTATATCTAACTTCCCAATAAAAACAAAATAAATCTTTTTTAAAAATTTAAGTCTTCTACATAGATGGGTTAAAAGACAAAAAAAAAAAAAAAGCTGTGTTGAAATTCAACACTAGTCAATGAATTCTACTATGATGGAAATGTATTTCTGCGTTTACCAATACTGTGGTCTCCAGCCTCATACCCACTTTAGCTACTTCACAAGTGACCGCACCATGACTAGGGAATGCGCTTTTAACCTGTCTTAGTTTATTTGAATTTATATTGTCATGAGTAGAAATATCATATGGAAGGGTCAAATGGTTTACCCAGGATAATGAGGCGTATTCAGAGCATGGATTTTTAGACCCAAGTTTTCTAGTTCTGAAAGCACAGGACTGCTCCAGAAGGCAGTGACCCATCCAGCGCTTTTGGTTTTGCCCCTTGTTGCCTAAGTCCAATTCAGAGAGCATTGCTCATCCTCTGTAAGTGCTAATCTCTGCAGAAAGTCTCCTTATATGATGAAAATAATTCCAACAAGCGCAAGATAGGAGCATTGTTCTTTTTCTTCTCTTCTTTCTTTTTTTTTTTTTTTTTAAGATTTCATTTATTGAGCTCAGCACAGTAGCCTAGAAGCTAAAGTTTTCTCCTTGCATATCCCAGGATCCCAAAGAGGCACCAGTTTGTGCCCCAGCTGCTCCACTTTTCATCCAGCTCCCTGCTTGTGGCCTGGGAAAACAGTAGAAAACAGCCCAGAGCCTTGGGACCCTGCACCTGCATGGGAGACCCAGAAGAATTTCTGGTTCCTGGCTTTGGAAAAGCTCAGCTCTAGCCATTGTTGCTACTTAGGGAGTGAACTAGCACATGAAAGATCTTCCATTCCTTCTCTCTGTAAATTTGACTTTCCAATAAAAATAAATAAATCCTTTTTTTTTAAGACACTTGTAAGAAGAAGATTTCACTCATTTTTTATTTGAAAAACATATTTACAGAGGAAGGAGAGAGAAAAAGAGAAAGCTCTCCCATCTACTGATTCACTCCCCAAATGCCCACAATGCCTAGAACTGATCCAATCTGAAACCAGGAACCAGGAGCTCCTTCTAGGTCTCCCAAGTGGGTATAGGGGCCCAAGGACTTGAGCCTTCCTCTACCATTCTCCCAGGCCATAAGCAGGGAAAACAAAGTAACCTACCCAAACAGGAGAGGGATTGCCCGAATTCTCACAGAAGGTTCCTGGCTCGGGTGGAAGGCTGGAGAGTTTTCCGTGTCCAGCTATGATTCTGAATCTGACCTAGCAATTTCTCTTCAACATCTGTTGTGCAGAGACCAAGGTGAGGAATGCGACGACATGAATAAAATCAATGGTGATGGCTGCTCTCTCTTCTGCCAACAAGAAGTCTCCTTCAACTGCATTGGTAAGTCTATAACCATGTGGCTGGACAATGACAATAATAGCAAGAGTTAGCTTGAAGTCATGCTACACGGTTTGATATTTTATCTGTGCACAGAGTGCCTCCAAACTGGTGGAAACTCTTTTATGCCACATGAAGTGCCAACAATTAAAAAATATATATATATTGGCAGATATCCCTTGGCACTTGAAGTTTAAATTCTTTATAGATGGTGACCAGGTCATGCGATTTTTTTTTTAACTCAGGCATTCCTTAAAGACATTTTTTTAACTCAGGCATTCCTTACTCTTCTCCATGCCAACTCTGCAGGACAGATATTCCTATGGATGTCTAAGGTTCTTTCCCCTCTTCCTTCACAGAAGAAAGAACGCAAAAGTCAGAAAGATTATAAAACGTGTCCAGAGTGACACAGGTCAGAGTGACTGAAGACGGAAGCGGGACTTGAACTTGATTTTATCTGATTTTCCAGCTCATACTGAACCCATTTTAGGACATGTCCAGATCAAGGGACCACCACGGCCACATCTGCAGACTCAGAACCTTGGGGGCCGTCCCGCTGATCCGAGGGAGGAGAAATAGCAGACCCGCCCGTGTTTAGAAAGCAAACGTCTTTTTCCCACCTTTCCCAAGTCAGATGGGAAATGTGTTTTCCTCTGCCAGAAGCGGGTCTGACTGATCTGGCAGTTTCAGCCCCACTTGGGAGGCCCTGGCCAGCCTGGGGCTGGTAAACAGACAGGGGTTGGGGGGCAGGGATGGAATTTTGAGCTGGCCCAGATGAGATCATGCTTCCTTTAAGATGCAAATCGATACCTGAAGATCAAAGGTCCTCCGGCTAATCCCCAGGGCTGGAGGTGAAAACTAATCGCAATTCATTTGCAAGTACAAAAGACAGAGGTGCTCTAACTGAAAAGGGAAAGGGCAGCTACAGAGGGGATGAAAACCCTGGTGGGAAGATTTCGCACTGAAAGGCAGTTTTCTAGGAGGACTAAAGGGAAGGAGATGTCATTGCATCCTCGCATCTGCAGTGCATTACAGGGTGCGCTTTCAGACATTTTTTTTCTCCAGTAGATTGTGAACTCCGTGAGGGTGAAGACCATGAGCCATTTCACTTTTATTCCGTTCTCAATGCACCTTTATTGAAAACACACTATCCTCCGCAAGGAGTGGGCACAGAGTAACACAATGGAGATACTCTGAAAGTGTTTCCTGGAAGATGGGAAGAGACAAACGGAGGAAGGATAGGGGGGTAGGGGGGAGTTAAGGCCTAGGAGTTTTAATTAAGGAGTTTTCTCCCTGTTTCATGTTAATTTTAGTAAAATCTGATACTAGTTTAATATTCTGGTAGAAAGTCCTTGGACCAAAATTAAGAAAACCAGAGTCAGTCCCAGCGGTGCTGACTTGCATAAAACTGACCATGTTGGTTTCCTCACCTGGCCCTGAGCTTATATTTTGTAGATGGAAATGTTCAGATTAGGTAGTCTCCAAGGACCCGCCTTTCTGTTGTATAATCTCTAAGCGAGGTGACCAAATTTCTTACAACAGTAAGAACAATGGTGAACTTGAACTAAGTTCTACCGACATCATAATCCTCCTGCAAATAACATTACTTTCACTCCATACTGAAAAATACACGCCTGTTTTACCCACATTCATGTGATGTGCAACGTAAGTGCTTCAGGGAAGAAGATAGGATGTGATAAGGGTAGCACATATTACCCTACAGAAGGTGCTATGTTCCTGTTACCCATGTGCTTTGTAGATTCAGAACTTTGCAGTACTAAATAGTCTCTTACAGATGTCAGTATGTGATTTTTTTCTACTCTTGGATTCTGGAACCCCAAGTAAAGAATAGGTAAAAATCAGCATGTGGTTCACTGAATTTTAGAAACAGAACCGAATGTTCAGCATCCAATCCTAAGGACTTCAGGAAATACCACCAAACTACAAGTCTAGCCCCGGCTGGCCTTGTTTCTGCCTTGGATCTTGCTTCTCATATGATACGTTGGACAAAATGACTGTTTTCCACTAGAGGGGTGGTTTATCAAACTGTGTTAACTAAAGCATTTTAAGGAAAAGAGTAGAGTGAGGGTGTTCGCAAGAGAATGAGACACATAAATCAGATAGATAGATAGATAGATAGATAGATAGATAGATAGATAGATAGATAGATAGACAGATATAGAGCTGCTCTATACCAGATTTTACATCCCCTGCTGTTGTTATTTACTAAGAATTTATAATATATCAAGCACCATCTATAAAATGTTATTCTCATACCAACTCTTTAATTGCACTAATTTTGCAAAAGAAGCAGCTGAAGTATGTAGCAGCAAATTAAGAATACTAAATTAGGTAGTAGAGCTGGAATTTAAATTCAGAGACCGACTCTAAGGTTGGGCACTTGGCACAGTAGTTGGGATGTTTTTTCGATGCCTGCATCCCATAATGAAGGGCCTGGCTTTGAGTCCTGCTTCCATTTGTGGCTGAGCTTCCTGCCAATACACACCCAGGGAGGCAGCAAATGACTTGGGGAGACAAGATTGAGTTCCAGCCTCTGGCTTCAGTCTTCCCAGGTATTTCAGAAGTGAGCCAGCAGATGCAACATATTTCTCTGTGTGTTTCCTTGTCTCTCTCTCTCTCTCTCTCTCTCTCTCTCTCTCTCTCTATCTCTATCTCTCCCTCTCTCTTCCTTCCAGATAAAACACTGTAGAGCCCACTAAGATAAATTACCTGCAAAAAGAAGCTCCTTATAGGTTTGGTATTGGGGGTTGGAGGTTGTGGTGAATGAGGAACCTTTATGTAACCAATTAATGGAATGAGATAGCAAACTGTTGGTGATATAGACAGTATCCAGAGAAGCCTGTTTCCTACCCCCTGTGCATTGAGTAGTGTTTGTGTTAGAGGAATTATCTCAACTATGCCGTCTGCTGTTCATTTAGAATCCCATAGGCACACAGAGAGACATAGGTTTTCCAGAAAGTATGGAATCTGCCTGGAGATTAGAGGTCCCTAGGATTATGTGCCAAGGACAAACTTCATAGTTGAACTCTAGAAAACTGTATTTCTCTAAACGGGATAGCTGAGGAGCAGATAGCAAATGTTTGCTTCCAAGCGGACTTTAATCAGAGAGATGGGGATGGGGGATGAGAGACTTTGTTGGGGATGGATATTGTTCTGTTTTTTAATCACATTTTTCTGGTACAGTGACCAGGAAAAACAGACTTGAGATTCATGATTTGGTGTGTGCTGTTGGCTAAGCCTGAATGTTCTCACATAAAAAAAAAAAAAAAAAAAAAAGTAAAAAGTACCAGGACTCCACTATGGATAACCTTATGAATGTTTGGGGATGCCTACTAATCAGATTTCTTTCTATATTTTGGGAATAATTATTATAATGAGGCAGAACCCAATCTGCACTATAGCAGTTGAAAAATCCAAGCATCTTTTTCTCCCAGTCTCCCTTTTCCTGAGTAACCACCAGGTTTAGATTTTCCCTCTATCTCCCAATCAGACTTACCAAGACAAGGTTTGCATCAAAAGCAACCCTGCAGAAACTGGATGAGGGTGCTGGAAGTGGTGGAGACCCATGCCAGCTTGCAGGGGCAGGCCCAGCACTATGGATACAATCCCAGGAGCAGATTTAGCATCACGGAGAGTCCTACAGAAGACTGCATTGCAGCAATAGTGCATAGACACTCTGGATCTCTTCACAAGTCATATCAGGCTGGGTTCTTAGATAAAATTGTTATTCTAAGATACTGTGAGGTTGGCTCCATTCATTCCTAGCAAGTTGAGTGTTCTAGTTTCACATTAACTATTACTTTTTTGGTATGTGTGTTGACGGGGTTGAGAGTGGAAGGCAAGGTATGAGCAACTACTACATTTTATAAACACCCACTAGGGATATGTTTTTTTCTTAATTGAAGTCTCTTATTTTCATAAGTGGAGTCTGAGATACATGCTGGTGTGTTTTTAAATTGTTTAAAATAATTCTCAAGGCTTATTTTTTATTTGAAAGACAGAATTACAGAGAGAGGAGGAGAGACAGGAAGAGAGAGAATCTTAACATCCACTGGTTCACTTCCCAAATGGCCACAGTTGCTGGGGCTGTGTCAGGCAGAAACCAGGAGACCAGAGCTTCTTTTGGGTTTCTTGCATGCATGCAGGATCTCAAGTACCAGGACCATTTTCCACTACTTTTCCAGGCTCATTAGCAGGGACTTAGATAGAGAGAGCAGCTTAGATACAAACCAGTGTACATATATGACACTGGCATTGCAGGTAAAGTCTTAACATGCCCAATACTCACTCCTATGTTGATGTTTTATCATGACCATGCTCATACAGCTCAAAAAAGTGTGAGTCTATCTCCATATTGAGCAAGGAGCCCGGGAATAAATCTACCTCTGCTTTCTATTTGAATGTTTTTTCTACTCTACTGTCCCATTAAAATAGCATCTTCTCCCTCTTTTCTCTCCTCCTCTCTCTTCTTTCCTTCCTCCTTCCTTTTCCTTCTTCTTTCACTCCACCCTCTCCCCATCATCTTCTATTTCCTTCCTCTTCCTTCCCTTCTTCTTTGCCTCATCATCATCATCATCATCAAGAACAACAACAACACTGACCATTGGGGCTGCTTTCGTGGGTCAGTAACACCAGTCTGAGTTTGTGTGACAGGTTTATGGTGATGTTCTGGTTCACTTTTCAGAAGCCCACACATCCGGAAGTATTCCCAAGGTGTCAGTGTGTCACTATACAACACTCTGGGAACTTCACTTTCCTACAACCCCACCTCAGCCCCCTAGCCCACAGCATATAATAAGTTGCTTATTCATGCAAACACCACCCACAAGGGTTCTTAGGCAATGCCAGCTACATCCTTTTGCAATGTGGAAATTATCTTGTCTTTCCCCCCCTTTTAAAATTACAACATTTGCCAGGCCTGAGATTACTGCTAAAAAACGTGGTATCAGTAAAATGATAACTCTCCCTAACAGGCACTGGCT